TGCAGCACGACCCGTATATTTTCGCACGCCGTGTTCTCAACACATATTTTTTAACATTTTCAACATCGTGGATAAATCCTTATATGCTCCCGGCAACACACTGAACGTCAACTTTGCCTCCTTATTACACTCACCCCTACTTTAGTGGGAACAATGAGTCTGCGTCTTTGATGCACACAGGAATAAACGCAGATCATCCTCTGGCTGCAGCCTTTACCGGTGTTCCGGATTAACTGGTTTCCCGATCAACTGGTTTACAGAGGTGGCCTTCGACTGAAATACACATTTCGATCGCTTCTTCTGTCGTTTACATAAATCTGTTGGTATATTTGGCTCGGTAGGAAGACTTTGATGCACATTCAGTACCAGTGTGTGAGGTTGTGGTTACGATGGCGATATCCGGACGCGAACAGCGAGGACTACAAAAAATAAACGAGTTGACTGGGGATGTCTGTTCAAAACATTGCGAGCTCCAATAAATCATTTAAACCAGCTATTGTTGCCTGACTTATTACTGAATATCGTTCTTAATGTGATACCAAGTCCATCTGAGACCTGTGTACACCTTCAGATAGCCTCCAAGTGAAGCGTACGGTGTTTTACTCACAGTTTGAAAGCAGCGTGGAGAACTCTTCAGCTGTGGTAAGCTTTGATCCGCCCAGGGAACTGGGACCCATCCCATCAGCTACTGCATTAGCAGACATAGCAAAAGGAAATGAGGCTTGATACAGACCTCAGTCAGTATACTATTTCTAAGCAAATGCCTACTATAATATGTATACTATATGGCTTAAAGTGTACATACATTCGCTCACATTATAAATGATGGTCGGGTTGGAATAACCTGTGGTGATGTTACGACGTGTTGATTCGTGGCGCACTCATAACGCGCAGGGCTTGAGTGATTTTTACTGTTGGGACTCGGGTTTGAGTCCAGTATGAACTTTTTTGTTATTTTCATGTCGATGCACACTGAATATTATGTTTGAATAGAGGATTCCTAATATTGTTTGCCGAGACCAACATTCATGACCAAGCAGCATTTTAAAGTCTAAATATCCCTGCTGCTATCTTTGCAAAATGAGTTAACAGTCACATCTTATCTGGATGAGTGCTGCAGAATACCGTTTTTATAAGGGATACATGTGTGTGTAGTCTTTCATATTAAACATGATCGCTGGTAGATAGCCACAGAAGTGTTAACACAGTTTAACCTGGGTGGATCACAGTTTAAACTGGGTGGTCACAGTTTAAACTGGGTGGGTCCCAGTTCCCTGGGCGGATCGCCGTTTACCTGAGCGGGTCACAGTTTAACACAGATGAAGACTTCTCCACGAACAGGTCTCAGATGGACTTGGTATCACATTAGGAACGATATTCAGTGATAAATCAGGCAACAATAGCTGGTTTTAATGATTTATTCGAGCGGATCACAGCTTACCACAGCTGAAGAGTTCTCCACGCTGCTTTCAAACTGTGAGTAAACACCATACGCTTCACTTGGAGGCTGTCTGAAGGTGTACACAGGTCTCAGATGGACTTGGTATCACATTAAGAACGATATTCAGTGATAAATCAGGCAACAATAGCTGGTTTAAATGATTTATTGGAGCTCGCAATGTTTTGAACAGACATCCCCAGTCAACTCGTTTCTTTTTTTGTAGTCCTCGCTGTACACGTCCGGATATCGCCATCGTAACCACAACCTCACACACTGGTACTGAATGTGCATCAAAGTCTTCCTACCGAGCCAAATATACCAACAGATTTATGTAAACGACAGAAGAAGCGATCGAAATGTGTATTTCAGTCGAAGGCCACGCCCCCCACATCTGTGCCCCAGTTGATCGGGAAACCAGTTAATCCGGAACACCGGCACTTGCTTCTGATCAGAGTCAATGCGGAAAACCCGCACTCACACAGGTAGGTGGAGGTGAAGGGAATGAGCACTCACACAGGTAGGTGGAGGTGAAGGGAATGAGCACTCACACAGGTAGGTGGAGGTGAAGGGAATGAGCACTTTTACAGCCTTCTTGGCGAGGTGGGGGAACTCGGTCTCCACAGACAGCCAAAAGTGTGCAAGTGTCACTTTATTCATCTTTTTTTTCTCACGCTGCGCCTCCCCTGAAGCTCATTTCACTCCGTTAGGAAGGTTCCTAAGCTAAATGGACTATTGGACCGCAACCCCAGCATGTGTGCCTGTGTGTATGATGTGGCTCTTTGCAGTAACACAGTAAAATGAGTGGCTCTTTACCTGACTGGTTGGCCACCCCTGCACTAGAGATTCATCAATTAAATGTTTATATTATTATAAGACTGACCTGCCAATGCTGATTTTCTTTCCGAAGAGCGTGTAACTTTTCATCAAAAATAAAAATACATTTCTCAGTCTATAAAACATAGACTAATGGAATATAACTTCCATTCACTCAAAAGGGGCACTTGTTCCTTTACTGCTGATTTTGGACTTTTTGGTGTGAAAAGTTGACTGCTGTCATTGTCACACTGAATGCTGTGTATGTGTCCAGGCAGAGGTAATCTACAAGAAGAACCCCAAACTGCTGAGTCAGCTGCAGTACTGCGAGGACTCGGGGATCCCCCTGGTGGCCATCCTGGGAGAGCAGGAGCTGAAGGATGGGGTGGTGAAGCTGCGCGCCGTGGCAACCAGAGAGGAGGTACCTGAACACATCTTTATTAAAGATGATAACAAATTATGTTTTTATTACCATTCACACACAATCATGCAGAGGCAGCCATACAGGCTCAGAGAGACTAACCTTCACACACTCAGTGTTGGCCATTGGGAGCCTTTTGGGGTTGAGGGCAAATATATTTAGATGTGTGTGTCTGTGTGTCAGGGCCGTAAGACTGAGTTTGAGTTTGTGATGCTGCAGGACTAACCTCACTGTCTGCTCCTCTCCCCACAGGCTGATATATCCAGAGCAGATCTGATAGCTGAGATCAAGAGGAGGACCTCTGAGGCCTAGACGTTCACCCCTGCCCCCCCACGCCACCTTCAAACAGACACTCTGCACACACTCTTTTACAGACTCCTTTGCAACATGAAACAGAAGGTTACCCTTAGCAATGATGCCAACATGATGTTCTTAAGGGTAACATGCCTTCAGTGTCAGCACTGTATAACAGGGAGCTGCTGTGAGGAACGCATCAGCTTTATCTATAAAGCTGCTAGAGCAGCTACATTTATTTGTACAGCTCCATCTCTGCACTCTGTTTAAGACATGTATTTTCTCCCTGCACCATCTCATGCTGGAGTTAAACTCAGCTTCTAACAAAAACACTTTCATTTGTTCCATGGCTGTACTGTCAGGTGTCTGAAATAAACTCAATACTCAGCAGCTTGTGTTCACTGACATTCTCAGTTTAAAACAAAACAATATGATGTTTCTCACTTACTGTACCTTAGGTGGCATGTAGCCATGTAGCCTGTTCTGGTTTGTATGACTTTATATCAGACATGGGTTTAACAGGGTTTACCTGCGTCTACGAGGGTGGCTGACAATGCTCAGGATGGGAAATCATGTTGGATGTTTTTTAATGAAGAGCACATTTCTTCAGATCAACATTTACTACAACATGTAATAGAAATCAAGCAAGTTCTTCAATATCAATAGGATTTCAAATGCTATCTTAATCCACTGGAGACCTGACAGAAATCCTTTTAGAAAAAGGGTTGAATATAAGGAACACACAATGAGTTTCTTCTTTCCTGGTAGTAAACTGAATATCATTGGAGCTTGACATGAAAATATCGCCTTGAACTGATGAAGAACAGGCATCTATCATTTTCTTGACTAATATTGATTTCAAGAGTTTCCATTGGCACTATTTCATTTGGTGCAGTCTATTTGACTCATAAAGCCTACTATTGTAATTAATAGTGTCAGTTAGCTTTTTCTTGTGTCAAAAATAGTAAAAGCTGCCTTCTCAAGATTATAACACTTGTTCTTACAGCCACATTTAGAAAAATCATGCATTACATAAATAGTTCTCTTAGCCAATAAATCAAAACCTCGTCTTTACATCTTGTTCCTATGTGGATACGTTTTCCATATTATATGGATGACTATTTGTAAATTCATTTGGAACTATCAGTGAAACAAGTCTTTCAGACACATCTCATTTAACAGCTTGATCAGGTTCATTTTCAGATTCTTTAGCTATAATGGCAGATTTTGTGAATCTGGTGCAATAATCCTGTATCAAAACAATGCTATTTATAATTATATATACTTAGGGTGGCTACAAACCGAGAGGCTAATCCTGACGCAGTAAGCTTACAGTGGAGAAGAGGACACCATTCATCTGCAGGGAAGCACTGACAGTCATCTTCTTTGAAGGACGCTTCCTTGGTAGCACATGTCTTCCGAGTCACTTGCTTCAGAAGCGAGGCAAGAATCCTTCCTGGCATTCGGAAAACAGGCGAGCAAGTGTGCAGGTGTGCGTCATATGAGAGGCCCCGCCTTACATTTTCCGCCACAGATTTTGGGAAATTGGTCTGTGCGCAAAGCATTGTGGGGATTTTAAGACTGCGGAGTCTACACATGTGCAGCCTCGAAATTTCTCGCTATGAAGGACGCAGAGCTCGGTAGAATTCCAAGTATGCTGGACATTGGAACAGTCCTTCGGCGGGACTCGTTGACGTAGTATCCTTGAAATAGTGGCTCTGGAGCATCCTTCCTTGACATTGAGAAACACCCATGGACTCAGTGAAGGCTCAGGGACATTTTGCAAAGTGAGAACACAATCCTAGATCAAGTTATCTTGATTCAAAGTGAGAACACACTTTGAATCAAGATAACTTGATCTAGGATGAACACATCTGGGTCAGAATGGCCAGGATTATGTTAGCCTGGGTTAAATAAAACCTGTTTGCTGTTGATAATCCCCACTTTGTGCAAGTGGTCATGAATCAGTCGTTGTAAAGAGTTAACATAAATCATTCACTCCATACATTTACATGAAGTAACACCATCACATTTTCCTTTCAATCTCATTTATTAAAAATGAGCAACCAATAAAGAGTAACACATGTAAAAAGCATGCACAAATAAAACACTGAAGATGAAAGACAAACAAGTGAACTATACTAAAAGCATGCAGATAAAATAAGATAAAATATTGAACATCTATCTGTAAATAACATTAACAAAGCAAACAGTGCTGTAGGAGGTGGGTGGTGAGTCAGGTGGGGGGGCTAAATGTTGCAGATCCTCATCAGAACCTGCAGAGCCACAGCCTGATGAGCTTCCCCCAGCGTGGCGTAGGCAGAGGGTCCCGGTAAGATCTTGACCAGCCCTTTGAAGTCGGGGGTTATCCCGGGGACGGACAGCTCATAAAAGAACAACATGAAGCCCTTGGGCACCACGTGGCTCAGCCTAATATTGTAGTGCGGCTTCCCAACACCCTTCGCCTCACACAGCTCACACAGCACCGCCATGGGGCAGGGGAGGTGACCCTCCAGGGGAGAGACGTAGGAGGAGGAGCTGGGAGGGGGCGGGGGCTGGGGGACAGCGGGTTTTCCCACTGCTTTGCAGAATTCAATGGCATCCCTGGATGGAGGGCGGGCCAGGCGGGGAGGGGGGCGTGGAGGGGTGAGGATGTGGCGTGGCGGCTTCAGGGGGACCGGCAAGAGGCTTTTAGAGAATTTATGTGGAGGGGGGGGCTCGTCAGTGGTCGACTTCATTGTAGACTGCCATTTGATGGAGATGTTGAACTGAAACTTCTTCCTGAATGCTGGGCACAAAGAGAAGAGCAGCTACAGTAGTAAGGTGTTTTGACATCAGTAAAGAAAAAAAAACATTATCTTGGGTATATACTTGTGAATTCTCTTGAATATGTAAGTTTTAATGTTCTTAACCGGAGATAGATAGATACATAATTACCCCACCTTCACAAGAGAATGCCTCAGGCTTTTTAAAAAAGATAAAACAAGAGTTTGGTTATTCTACGTCGTGCCACCTGTTGTATTTAAAGCAGTCACAAGCAGCCAGACTCAAAACAGAATGAACATCTAGACATCACAGAGATGGAGTGGGGAGAAAAGATCTTGTGACATAAGTGAAACAGTTGTGTGAAAAATGAAAATAAAAAAGAGCTGAGAAGTGTTGACCATTAGTGGGTGTGAAGGTCAGATTTTCAGTATTGGAAATGTAAAACACAAAGTTCCTGTTAAGTCTTTTGAATCAAGTACAAATCAAGTCCAAGTAAAGTAAAGTTTATCATAATACTAATAATTAAAGCTGCATTCAGCATTGAACTGCCCCGCCCCCCCATTCTAACACGTTTGGGATATTGTCTACAGGCCTTGGTGAGTGCAGTGATGCTTTCATAACAGTTTGCAACAAATGGTTGCAATTTAAGTCAGAATAATATATTTTTTTTTTGTTGTTGTCATATTCCAAAAAGCCAATTTACGGGTAATAAAAAAGCAAGTTATACAAATGTCAGCAATGACATGAATATGGGAGAAACCCCCTCAAGCCCAACCACTGCAGAATTGTTATTTCTGTGCCCTACCTGACATCTGTACCATTTCATTAGAGAAATGCATTACAATATATGAAAGGTTGATCATATTTACAGTGATGTGATCCATCATCTGAGCTCCTACCTTCCACCAGCACCTTCTTGGCCATAGAAGCAGCATAGTGGGATAAGAAGACGACTATAGCAGACACCCCCACTATTCCAGGCCCTGCCTTCAGAGAGATCCTCTCCACCCCCTCCGCCATACCACGCAGCACCTGGGAACAAACACACGTTGCCTTGACTACAGGACACTACAGGCTCTGGGAAAACTTCATGGGACTTTTTTTACTTTTGTAAAACTAAAGAGCTCCTCATTTTAATATCGCATGGTACTTTTTGTCTTAGAATATGGATTTGAAAAGGGTAACAGTCACACAGGCAAGATAGTACATGCGAGACCTGAAGAGTGCAGTCAGGTCTTCAGCTCTCCATGGCACTGAAGTTAGCTTACACTAGCTACAGCCAACCTGTTGTGTACCAGTGGTGTTGTAGCACACACACTCAGTCTGGCTGATTGACGGGTGGTGCTCACTCCAAAACTCAGTTCCTATTCTATGCCATTCAACTTATACATGTGCTGTTGAGGCATATGTAAAATAGTAGGCCTTGGGAGCGAGTAGATAAATGATTCTTCTGTTTTTACATCTGTGATTCAGTTCTACAGTTAGGGATGGGTACCGAGCCCCGGTATTAAACGGGCCCCGGGGCTGAATTATTAAAGACCGTGGTACCGTTAAGCTCCGACGTTATCGGTCTTTTTATCGGTACTGGAGACATGTAAAAAATATGTCATGTGTATTATTGCTACACAAACCTTATATTGCAGTTTTAGTGTCGCCAACTCCGTTTCTAACATGCAAAAAGACTGCAAAATGCTTCATTATTCTTAGTATTTTCGATCTCTCCAAACCAGGCGAGAGATCTCTCTCCCCCGCCTGTGTGCGAGGGGGCGGGGCAGTTTACACACACGCAGCTGCTACATGCAGCAACACACACACACGGAGGAGATGGCGGAGAGAACGCGCTCCGAGGTGTGGTTAAACTTTACCCGTCTCGCTCGTTGCCTAAAGTGCAATAAGAGTTTAGCATGTCAGGGCGGTAACACGAGCAATTTGTCTAAACATCTTGCAAAAGTGCACCACATTCAGACGGAGGAATGCACCGGGTTCGACTGTCTCTCTAGTAGCTCTGTAGCCCCGCCCACGAGTAATGTTTCCACGTCAGGTATATTATGTATGCTAGCAGCAACACACGGAGCTAACTCAATGATACAAACATGGGTTAATGATTAGAGGGAACTGAGTTATTTATTTTGTTAAAGTTTCAGCCATTCTGTTTACAGTTCTGTCATCGGATTATTTAATACCATTTGTTAAAACATTGTTGTTTCTTTTGATGTGAAATATTATGTATTTAATTTAAATAAAAAGCAATGTTAGTTTTGTTCACAATTTGTTTATTTTCATTTTTCATTTAATGTTTATTTGAATAGGGACATGAATGCACATTAATGAACACCTTAGACAAATAATGCTTCAAGTGTAAATATGCCGGATTTTAGCTTTGAGCTAATTTCCATCCGTAGTCCCTGACATACAACATATAGTTAGTTTACCTCATTTTTCTCTCCAAAAGAACCGATAAGAGTACCGTTAAAAGACCGGACCGATAAGCGGTATCGATAAAAGTAGTAATACCGTTAAAACCTTAACGATACCCATCCCTATGTACAGTATTGCAATGCTAAATGGTGTTTGTCTACCAACTCAAAATAAAAACGGCTCCACCAGCTGAAAATCTGCTCAAAGATAGGTAGGTCAACCTTCTGAGAAACTCCATGAACCAGCCTACGATAACAACATAATGATGCTGGCCAACGAGATCATCTCTGACCCCAACCATGTCCTGAACAGAGAATATGATAATAATAATAATAATAATAATAATGTTATTTATATAATATGAATGTCAAATCAAAAATACAGGGTCCAGAGATTTAATAAAGCTAGACTTCAGCATTATTTGTGCACCAGTCAATCCTCCAATCAAATACAGAGCTAAAATCCCAGGTTAAATGTACGCTAAAGGGTCTTGAGCATGTTTTTCTTCAGTGATCATGCTGATTTGGTTAATGTTTGTTCCCTTGTATCTTGTCTTAAATATTTGTCCTTGTTGATGTTGCGAATGGAGCTGCTGGGATGCGAGACACATTTCAGACTCCTTTTATCTGACAATAAAGTATAATGGTATCGTAGATCAAAACTATTTCTGAAAAGGATGCATTTCCCTCTGTCAGCAGTGTTCTTCTCGTTCCCTCGGAGCGTTACCTGCAGCAGCTGGTCCGGCTGGGTGTTGGCGGGCAGCTCTCCGATGCAGAGGTGACTCTTCTCCGTGCTGCGGCGCACACTGAGGCGGAGGCCGGCCTCCAGCCTGTGACCGTTCAGCAGGTGCACGGCATCGCTCACTACATCTGGTGAGCTGTATTTGGCGTAGGCGAAGCCGCGGTTCTGCCCGCTGAAGTTCATCATGAGGCGGAACTCCCAGAGGGGCCCCACGGAGCCGAACAGGGGGATCAACACGTCCTCGTAGGTGTCCCGTGGGATCTGGCTGATGAAAACCTCACATCGGGCTCCTGGGGGGGGCAGGTCCCACACTGACCGCACAGAGGAGAGACGGTGGGAGTAAGTGCATGGCTTGATTATATATCAATGATTGCTAATACAGGGTTCTTACACCTTTTCAAAAGTCAAATTCAAGCACTTTTCAAGCATTTTCAAGGTGCATTTTCAAGCTTTTCAAGCATCTTACAGCTGTTGTAAATTACATATTTATATACACATACTTATACTTATACTCAAATGATTATTTCCCTACCTCACATTAAATCAGATGTTCTTTATGCTATAAACAACCAAATGTGTGTTTCGTGATAGCATTCTACATGAGGATGAAACATTTAAGAAAAGAAAACTAAGTTTAATATTTCAAAATTAGTGATCTGTACGTAGACTGGGCATCCCATATAACCTGGCTGAGCCGATATAAAACAATCAGCCAAATAACTTTTCAATACATTATTTTATTTTTTTCAATACATTATTAATTACTATTTTTGAGGTACTTTTAGGTTGGCAGTAAACATAAGTCAGAGGTAAATTGTGTACTTTGACTCCATATTTAATACCTTTAGTTACTTTACAGATGTGGATGAATGATGTGAAATATAATCAAGTGTTAAATCAGACTTTAGTTCCACCTGGAGTAAATTCACAATCTACCCTGCAGTATACAAAGTCATTCAAACTAGCTGCACCTTTACCAGCTTTGAGAACACTTTCATGATCAATCATTATAAAACATATCATATATATTATTCTGAAATGGACCAATCTGCACAATGATTACTTTTACTGTCGCTACTTTAACTATATTTTGATGATAATACTTTTCTACTTTTACTTGAGGAACATTTTGAATGCAGGACTTTTACTGCAACAGAGTATTCCTACACTCTGGTACTTCTACTTTTACTCAAGTACAATATCTGAGTACTTATTCTACCTCTGGTAGTATATTAGTCTGAATTGTAGCCACAAAATCACGCAGAGCTGCATAAAAATAGACTCACAATGGGAACAAGTGGAAAATAATAGTTACAAATGTGTACAATGATTTGTAGGTAATTTTGACTACTCAAGACACCTGATTTATACATCTTCAAAGGAAGACTGTGTTCATTCTACAATTACATGGGATTAAAGCAACATGTAGTTTTACTTGTATAATACTTCAATTTTATATAAAAGACAGTTTGTTTTCATCTGTTTTCAAATAAACAAAGTATTGGCTTTCAGAATATTAAACTTGTTTCGGCAAATTCAGATGATAAATACAACTTTGAAGCTTGTAACGGCATAATTACAAGCAGAGAACGGAGTAATTTAACATCACAGCAACAGCCGGTGTTTCTTGTGAGTGTTTCCCCGGTACACAAACTCAAAAATACACAAACACACTCGCGAGCTTCCCCCAGACCAGTAATACAAACTAAAATGTGTCTTCGGGTCAATGTGACTGATTTCGATAGAGAAAGTCACATTTGGTTTAGGCACGAAACATACTACCAGTAGAAATACATTGCTTTTAAAATCGCTCTGTGTCGAATCAATAGATTATATTTCGTGACTATAACACAAAATGCCGTGAGTGCTTCATCCGCTGAACACCACAGGATGGCGACTGACATAACATAGGTACGCTCCTCTGAAATGATTGTCCCCTGCAATTATTATTATCCCTCATCGAGTTCGCTATTCAGCTTGCTAACGTTAGCTTAAACAAACGTAACAAGCAACGTTAGCCTAATCTAAAATGCTCTACTACGGCGTACCTTTCATGTGGCTCGTCAGCGCAGACTCTCGCATCGTTATTTTTGCAAACTTTGCAGGAGGCTACTCTTGGGCTTGACCCTCGTCTTAGCCATGGCTTGTATTTGTCTTCTGCTAGCCAACGCTCGTTGAAACTGCAACCTCCTGGCATACTGTCATCTATCACTCTCATCAGAATGCCCAGGTCACACGTAACAAAAACACTTGCAGGTCACGCGCATAGCGCGGGAAGGCCGGAGCGGAGCTGTTTTATGTAAAGCGAAGCAATTAAGCGCGCTCCGACTTCTTTATTTTCTTTTAATCTAAAAAGCGAAGTAAAGCATTTAAAATTTCAAGCACTTTATCCCAAATTCAAGCGCCATTCCCAAGATTCAAGCACTTTTCAAACCTTGAAAACACCTCGTACAATTTCAAGCATTTTCAAGGATTTCCAGCACCCGTACGAACCCTGTAATATCTATATTTAAGAATGGAAATACCATCCCAGTATTAGGGTTGGGAACCGAAACTCGGTTCCAGATGAGAACCGATAAGAAAAGGCCAGGTACTGGGTACCCATACAAAATACACAATTTTGGTTCTGCTTAACGGTTCCTAAACGCTGTAGACCCTGTATTCCACCGGGTCCGTCTGTGCCGCGGCGACCCGGTGGAATACAGGGTAAGGGCGGACTGGCCATCTGTGTGTTCTGGAGAATCACAGAACGGCCGGTCGTCAGCGGGCCGTTGACGGCCGGCTCGGTTCGCTAACGGCCGGCACCGCCCTTGATTTTTTAAAACTGCATCATGTAAGTTGCGCTGACAGGCGACAGAGGTCCACAGTTGCCCCGCAGCGAGCCTCCCCCCGCCCTCCCGTAGACAGTTCACGAGCTCAGTCACTTCATAACACCAAAGATGGATGGCGGTAAACGCTCTAAAGTGAGGCTCCACTACACTAAAACAGAAAAAGACAAGGCACAGTGTAATGCCTGTTAATAGCTTGCCACAGGCATAGCTCAGTTCAAATAAAGCACAGCTATTGTGCAATACATTTGTATTGCATGTATATTTTTTATTTGTAAAAATGTCAGTTAAAGCTTAAAAGAATAAAGATATTTTTGTTATCTAAACGTTTGACCTCTTTCTTTTACAATTTTGGAATCGAAACGGGGAATCGATAAGAACCGGAATCGATAGGCAGAACCGGAATCGATACATTTCAGACAATACCCATCCCTACCCAGTATCAAGAAATGTTTTCATACATTTTTACAAGAGGGTTACAATTTCAATAATTCTAAACATCTATACTGAAAATCTAAAATAGCACAAATTGAAAGATGGAAGTTAAAGGAGAGGTGTCATGCTTTTCCGGTTATTACCCGTCCCCTTGTGTGTTATGAAGGTTTTTATGCATGTAAACGGTGTGCAGAGTCAAAACCCTCAAAGTACACCCTATAGCGAGTAAAACTCTAACACAGAAAATACCTCCCCAAAACGCCTCGTTGGAGATACGTCATTGTCCATTTGATTCTTCTGGGACGGCATGATGTCAAGCCGTACCCGGAACGAAATGGACCAATCCGTGGAGCCGTTACGTCACGTCCGCGGAGCCGTTACGTTAAGCCCCCGCTGATTGGTCCAAATTGACCAATCCACGGACTTCCTCACACACACATCTGTGTGCAGGGAGCAGGCAGCTCAGCTGATTTCTCCTCCCTGGCTGCAGGCTGATAACAGACAGTTGGGATCGCGGCGAAATTCTCTCTGCAGACCCATTCTCACAGCGTTTATCAACCTTTTTCTTACTCAATATCAAGCCACACTTAATGTTTTTACTTCGGCTGTGACTTTGTGTGTGCTCAGGATGAGTTTGGCTGTGTATCGCTAACAAGGAAACCACACCTCCACGGAGCTCAGCGCGATTCACAACGTCCCGACCAATCAGAGCACACTGTGCTCACAGGGAGGGTGGGGGCTGGAGCTATTTGAGCTACAACGAGCCGTTAAAGGCAGAGAGTGAAATTCAGTGAATACAAGTGGTTTACAGAGATGCTGTATGAGAAACCAATGTGAGTTTGGAAAAATGCACAATATAAATCTATTCTAGTAGACCTCAACAATGGAATTATGATCAGTGGAAATGGCCATGACACCTCTCCTTTAACATTTTATCCCTTGTTTTCAGATTTGTTTTTACTTATTTCAATAATCCAAGTAGAATGGATGTGTCGGTTTAGAGTACCAGACATTGTTGTAAAGTGGGGAATTAATAGATTTTGCTCAAGTGATCAATACATAATAAACTTCATGTTGTTGAATGGAAATATCATATTTAATTTATTTAGTTTCAGTTATTACATAAGCAACTTATTTTAATGTAAGAATTTGTTAATTATCACATGTGATATAAGCATCACAATATTCAACAACGTTATCGCCTGTTCTCCTGCAGTCCTAATACTGAATTAAACTGATCTTTGTTGCGAGGTGTGTGTGAGCTGCAGGTCTCACCCGCAGGCGGTCCTCCATACTTCCTCTGGCCGTTCACCTGAGCCAGCTTTGTGTCCGTTTCTATCAACCAGGCTTCTAGAGCCTGCACCCGCCCACTGTTCAGCACCTGGGGGGGGGGGGGTCACACAGGGAACAACTCAGCAGCTCCTCTTCAAACAACTGATTCCAAACAAGTTTACTTGTTCTTAGTTGTTCTTAGTTGTTCCTAGTTGCATAATAATTCTGCACACTAATAGTTGCCCAATAATTGTTCACACATTGATTTTCTCCTAAGAAAGGAAAAAAACTCACTTTTACTCATTAAAATCATCCTCAAAAATACAACTTCCCTAATAATTGTGCACACAGTGTATTTAGATGCAAATTCTTTTGTTCTTTTAAGATTTCGAAAGCATGACTTTTACTTGCAATAGAGTATCTTCACAGCTAAGTGTTGCTACTTTTGCTTAAGTATAATATCTGAGTAGGCCTACTTCTACCACCACTGCATCTAGGGGCCCTTCAAGATTCAAATATTAGATTGATTTAGATTCTTCCGGATTGGAATATAAACTGATACTTGTTCAATATGATATTGTGATACAGCTTTAAGTATTTTTCTGGTCTCTGGAGCAGCAACGTTATTCCATTTTAACCAAATTATAACACTGTAATGTATTATTACAGGGTTTGAGCTGACGAAATGTAACAAGAAAGATGGTCAACGTTAAAGAGAAAAGTTTCAAACGCAGCACTGAGGTGAAGGAGAGAAGTTTTTTGTGGAAAAGAGTTACGACAGGAAAATATTCGTCATTTCAAGTCATAACTTTAAAACTCAAAATAACTTAAAAACTTAAAACAATCTTTTATTAAAGCTTTTAACTAATGATGACACCACTCTGTTTTACTCGACTTCCATGTTCTGTCTGTTTCTGTATTACTGCTGCTATTGTTCAAACGCTGTATGTTATTGCGTGCGTTGGGTAATTTAGACCGCAGGCTCTGCGACTAGTGACTAGTTTTTGAAAAGTTCTGTATAAATAAAGTTATTATTACAATTATTATAACCAACCAAAAACAAAGAAACAATCCTTTTTTAAATGAATGTAGATTAAGCGTCCCGAACACGCCGCTTTCACGGGCGGCTCTGGGCTAACATCGTCTTTTTTGTAAATGAATGTAGACTAATGAGCTGCAGGTGGTCCTCAACCAAGAGGCAGTGCACGGTGAACGACGTACGACGTACGTAAAAGCCAAACTAAATGTTTTCACAAGAAACCTTTACAAACAAGTAACGATGCAAAGCACGAGACGAGAAAAATACTTTACACAATGTAGCCAAATATGCGCATGTGTTTAGAAAAAAGATCGCGAGGCACGACAACAAAAGTAACCATTGTTGGAATCGGAGCTCGCGCCGTCACTGCAGCTAGCGCTCAAATGTATTGTAAACATTTCCTCTCAACAGGAGAGTACTTTTGGACTTAAAACACAAACACAATATATAAACGGACAAAAACAAAGTGAAGGAAACTATTAGCCTACCTGCATTTGATTGCTCTCCATGCTCTCGGTGTTCATGCGGATAGTGACGTCTTTGCCCGTGACCGCACGTTTAGCCACACCCTATTGGCCCGCAGCAACCCCTCACCGCGTCTCCTTCACGGGCAGCTCGGGTTTTACATCCTCCTGACAAGGGAACACGTTTTGCCGCGCGGCCGGTTCAAATTTGAGCAAAAATAAACTGACAAAAGTTTAACAACAGTTCCTGGGGGATCTAACAGTAAGACTAGTTTAAAACTAAAAGGAATTGTAACTAGGTAGTGGTGGGGCACAAAAAACGTAGATGTCTATAAGCTTCTGCAGTGACGTGCAGTGAGGTTCATGGCTGGTGAGGCACTGGCACTGACTCTTCAGGTTTACAAATATTATATTTTGACCTAAATCAAAATATAATATTATTTTCAAAAGCTTTTTTTGTCTGATGCTTTGATTAATTTTAAACAGACAGTTCAACAAAAGGATACCCACAAAATGTAATTTTATCATTTAAATATTGAATTGTTCTCTCTTAGTAAGATCCCATTTTCAATAAAATGGTGGTCTTACCTTGACTTGAAGATGACGTCCATTTGCCTATCCTTCTGGACAAAAATCTTTATAACTTTTTTGTAAAAGTCCTCCTTATCTTCTTGTAGTTTCAAAAGTCGAACCATAAATCTAATCGATAGATTTATGATTCGAAAATTATAAAAGTAGGGTAGACATGTGGATATTATCCGGCTGAACAAAACGTGCATTTATCTAACAGGTACGTTTCCCACAGATCTTATTTCCAGCTATTTTCAAAAATTCTATGGAGAAATCTCATTGCTTTTTTGTCGAGAAGCCATGCGCAGCTTAAAAAATAATTTCCATGTCAAAAAAGTCACAGTTTGTCGTAAAACTGTTGAAATATAAGACTATGAAAAATACGCAACTAGAAAGACTACAAATCCCAGAGTCGCGTAAGTGATGTCACAATTGTTTTCCTCCACTAAGAGATAGCTAAGATCAGCGCCATATAGATAGAATCTATCTATATGGCGCTGGCTAAGATAAGATAACTTTAACAAGATGCCTGTGTGCTTAGTACCAGGTTGTTCATACCAGCAATGGGTCTTGCTCGTTCTTTCGCTTCCCGTCTGATGAAAGGACCAGGAGTGTCTGGATCAAGCTAGCTAGTAGCTAGCACGTTAGTTAGCATTACAGCCTTGTCATTTGTATTAGCCTTAACATGAAGTAACATTAAGTAATCCAAAATGTTAAACAGTAAGAGTAGTAGTCATATTTCGTGAACCCTTTGAAGAGTACTGTCACACCGGTGTGATCATTCTATAATACACAATTTAAGCCCGGGGGAGAAATGCTAACGCTAACGCTAGCGATCTTCTCTACTTCATGCTATCTGCACAAATGGTTGACATTAAACATTAAAAAGACCAGGCAGTTCAGAGAGAATCAAAGGAAGGCAGGCAGGCAGCTTTGCATGACTTTCTTCAGGACGTGTTTCATTGTGGTGATAGTGAGGGTAGTCAATCGTTTTGTTGACAAGACAGTAGTGACGGCCATCTTGGTGACGTGTGTTGTTCTGTGAGACCAGAGATGTAGTTCATTGAGCGTTTCACACAAACAAATGTGTTACTTCACAGTTTTACGACACATTTTTTTTTTTTTACTTGCAAAATTATCTTTTAAATTGACAAACATCATATGTGTAATTCGTGGCACAATTCAAACGGGATCGAAAGATAATCTTTCTCTCTCCATTGACTTCAATACATAATTTTTCCGAAATAAGGTCCCATGGAGGTCCACCGGAAGGGGAGGGACTTCGCCACTCTATGGCAAGGGGTACTCAAATACAAATCTTAAAGGTCCAAACAATTTTTTTCAATAAGACAAAGGTCCGTTTATTACGGTCATTCAAACTTTTAAACAATTGCAACAAGATTCTTAACACGAGGTTGTAAAAACAAAAATAATCTGTATGCAGCCGTTTTCATTGTTATTGTGTCTGTGCTTGATCCCTCAGAGTCGCAGTGTAAGAGCTGCACAGTTATGAATAAAGGCAGCTGCACCCTCTTTCATTCAGCATTCCCATTATTGCTTTATAAATGTCTTGCCCCCTTGTGTGTCCACTGAGGTTCGTCAGGCCCAACACATCTTCAACAAACTCCCCCTTTGCCTCATCATAAAAACTCACAAACACCAGCAACTGAGCATTGTCAGTGGTGTCAGTGGACTCATCCACAGCTAAGGAAATGCACTGTGCATTTTTTATTCCATCACAAAGCTGATTAATCAAATCACCAGCCAGTATTTATGTTCTTCTGGTTGCTGTGGAATCTGAGAGGGGGATTTGCTTGATTTAACCTGTTATTTCCTCTTTTTGTTTGCCTTCAAACATGGTCTCCATCACTTCAGTCATGCATTCTTTTATACTTCAGTTATTATCCAGTGGAATGTCCTTACCTACTGGCCTAGTTAAATCAAAGTGGTCACTTTTTTTTGGCTGGGCAGTGTAGTTTTACACACTCTTATTTGACTTTCTCAGGACTTAAAACTGTTTTTTGGGGGCAGACTCCCACCTCTGCGGGGTAGCCCTCGCCAGGGAGTGCTGCCCACGATGCTCCCGTATGAACCATCTAGTATTATGCATGAAGTGTTATATTTGGTGCAAAAGTTTGCATTTGGTAAGTGTTTATGTAGTTTGAGTGCAGTTCTTCATTTAGCAGGAGAAATTAGGTGTTTTGCACTTTGGGTGTGTGGTTTTGTGATTTGTATTTAGTGTTCTGAGAAACTGAGCAATTTAAAAATAAATGTGTGTTAGCAATCGAGAAAAACTGTAAAAGAAAAGTTGACGAGCCCACGACAAGCCTTTCAGCTATAATGCCCAAATCAACAAAGTATGATGAAGCATACATCTCCCTTGACATCTAACGTGTTCGGTGCGTAGATATCTTTCTCTCTCTCTCTCCCGTTTGTGTGCGGGGGGCGGGGCATCTCGCTCACAGACTCGCTGCAGCGCCGTGCACACAGAGATCCGCCGGGTGGAGTACATAGCGTTCAAAAGTGACAATCTAATCTACAGAGCTCGATGTGGGCAATGCTCGTTTGCCACAAGCTACATTAGATTTGTAGTCTTTCTCGTTGCGTATTTTTCATAGTCTTATATTTCAACAGTTTTACGACAAACTGTGACTTTTTTGACATGGAAATGATTTTTTAAGATTGACAAACATCATAGGCCTATGTGTAATTCATGGCACAATTCAAACGGGATCGAAAGATACGTTTTCTCTCCCCATTGACTTCAGTGCATAATTTTTCCGAAATAAGGTCCCATGGACCGGAAGTAGATGGGCGTGACTTCGCCGCTCTATGCGGTCCTTCCTTGTTCACTCTGAAGCAGGGGCGGACTGGCCATCTGTAGAATCTGGAGAACCACGGCCCTTTAAAAAAAAATTGTTTAATGTCATCTTTTAAGTTGCGCTGACGGCCGACAGAGGGCGACAGCGGCCGCGAATGCAGTTGTGTGGTTCTTATCTGTCAAATAATCACACACGAAGAAGAAAAAAGACCGGCCACACGAAGAGAAGGGATTAGACGCCGCGGCAGACAGAGAGAATGAAAAAACATGGATAAAAATCAAAGAAAACGAAAAGAAAAAGGTGGGGCCGAGAAGGCAAGAGAAAAAAAGGTGAAGTCACTCGCAGGTGAAGCATATAAATGTCGCAAATTGACAGATCTTTTTGGCAGCAGCGCTGCCACAAGCACTATCAGCAGCAGCTTAGAACAAGTGCAAGATGATGAAGAGAATGATGAGGGCGCGAGTTCAGATATACAGCCAGCCTCCTTCGTTCATGATGAGGGACAGAGAGTTGAGCTGGTGGAAGAACCAGCTCAACTGGCACATACAAGTGCAGGGCAAGAGCAAGAGGTGGGTGAGAAGAATTATCCCTTGAAATGCATAAATGCAGCCTAATAAACAGCGGATTTCTAATAACAAATAGTAGCCTACTGTATGTTTGTGTGTTTACTGTTTTACGATGTCCCATGTGTTTAAGACATCTGAGGAGTGTCCTCCCTCTTTAGGTGAGAATTATCCCTTGAACTTGTTAGAAATTAAAATCAATGTTTTATAGCATAATTTAGTCTAAAACATACCGTCAGTTTAAAAGCTGTTTTATTCTGAAAAACCCGGAAGTTCTCATAAAATCTCAATGCCAAGCTTTTATTCTGAAAATCTTTCATCTCCGGTTAGCATTTAACATGAGGCTAATATTACGTTTGCTAGAAATGTGAATGTAAAGTGAAAATGACACGGAGTGTTGCACACCAAAACCTACTGATCTTAACACTACACCAGTCGAGATATTATAATTGCTGAATATTAAATGAAGGTACAGTTTATTTTAATAAGTTCTGTCGACAGAAGTAGGTAGATATGACGACTTCCGAGACTACAGTAAATGAGAACTGCCGTAAATGAGAACTGCTGAAAAGCACTTCTGGTATTACTAAAGTGTCTATTTACAGCCGTTATAATGCATTAAATAAAAAGTAATGAAAGAGAGTATGAGGAGAAGAGGTGTGTGGAGTTATCCTGTTAAGCCCTAGAGCCCCCTGTACAGGGGGCAGTGGGGTGTTTTTTCACGAAACTGTGTCTCAGGGCTTCTTAATATTTAAAAACCTATTAATGTGTCATACCCATTTAACGGGAAGAAACTCAGCTAACTGACAATACGAACCATTTTTACCGAAACAAAACACAAGTCTCACAAGAAGCGTCTAAATGAGCCCTGAGCGAAAAAATGCTAACACACTTACCACAGAACTCAAGGTAAAAATACCCTTATTACTTATCGTAACTGCAAAAATGGCATTAAAATGATAAAAACGCCGCTGAAGATTAATCCATAGGTTAATCCAATGTGTCTGTGTCACTTTGAAAGGATTACTGATAAACCATCATTGCATTTTTATGTAAAAAACGGAGATTTCATATTATTTTTATTTTTATAAATCTCTCTAAAGAGGTCAAATGTCACTTGTTTTGCATCAATCTTGATACAGGGTACTTATTATATGTTGTAGTTTGGATTCCTAAAGCTTTTAGTCTACCATCCCATCATTCAAGGGTGGTTTTCACTATAAGTAATGGGTTTTTTTTAGGCGGAGG